TGTATGACAAACTCATGAGTGCATATTTTATCCATACAGTATATTATACATACATTAATTAAGAACACCGCCTTACAGTATGACACTGAAAAACACTGAAAAATTTAACGTATGAAATGGGGGATGCCGGATCAGGACTCCAAATTTGAGATACCAGATTTTAAATTTGGATACTGGAAATGACAAGCTCAGTATCAAGAGGGATAATGAAAAAAATTCTGGTCGCAATACAAAAATAATTTACTATCCAAATGTGAGATACTAGATTTTTGGATGGATACCAGATTTTAAGTTGCTAGTGTGCTGTTAGATACTGCAAATTTGAAGCCTTGGAAGATTAAGTTTAGGGAATACGTTTATGCCAATATAACTTGTTAATTAACCCACTAACATGCAATTCTCCCCCTTCATAGTTTTACTCTGTCTAACGCCAGATTGACACTTAATGGCCTAAATGGTTAAGTTATTTTCATCTTCCAGATCTTGTTCATCATCGTCCTGATCTTGTTCATTACCTTCATCAAGTTGCAGAGGAGTGTTAAGAACCAGATTCTTCTTGTGCTGCAATAGCCATGCATGTTGTAAAGTCAGCTCTATTTAGTGATTTCAAGTTGTCTTCGTCAATGTTTAAAAATGATTTATATTTCCTTCCAGGAAATAGCATAAAATGTTTTATCTGCCTCAGGTCACTGAGAATAATTGCTTCATCATTGCTTCTAAAGATTTGCGCCCTATCTCACTTACCCCCACTTTATCCAAAATTTGCGAACGGTTTGTTACAGACTAGTTACTTAAGTCAATTGGTGCAAAGATTGATACGCGGCAGTTTGGCTCCGTTAAAAATTCCTCGGCTACCCATGCCCTACTGAGCCTGATCCATCCCCTCCTGAGTGCGGTGAGAGTATTCTTGCTTGATTTTGAAAAAGCTATTGATCGAATAGATCACAACATACTGGTGAATAAGCTACAACAAATGAGTGTTTCCCAAACCATTATAAATTGGATTAGAAGTTTTCTCTCTGATCGTAAACAACGAGTCAAGTTGGCTAACTGTCATTCGGACTGGCAAACGTTAAACGGTGGAGTGCCGCAAGGGTCGGTGTTAGGGCCGGCTTTGTTCCTTGTTACGATAAATGATCTTCTTATTGATTGGAGCGATAGATGGAAGTATGTTGATGGCAGTACGTTTGCTGAACGAGTTGCATCAACTGAGAGTAGTGAACTACAAGATCTAGTGAATGTTATCTATAATTGGTGTGAAGTTAATAATATGAAGCTCAACATCGGCAAATGTAAGGAAATGGTAATTGACTTTGCAAGAGAAAAACATGAGTTTTTACCGTTAACTATAAATAACGTTGGTATTGAACGGGTAAAATCTGCCCGAATTCTTGGTCTCTCAATCCAAGATGATTTGAAATGGAACGAGCATGTGAACCATATTGTTAAAAAAGCGGGAAAACGCCTTTATATGCTAAGGTTGTTAAAACGATCAAATGCCGACAATAGCATTCTAATTTTGGTATACTGAACCATTATCAGACCAGTACTCGAATATGCCTGCCAAGTTTGGCACTTCAATATTACAGAATACCTAAGTGAAGATATCGAAAAACTCCAGAAGCGGGCTCTGCGTATTGTCTTGCCATTCGCTACTTATAGAGAAGCTTGCAGTATTACTGGTATATACCCTTACTGAAAGATCGGCGGCGATTATTATGCGAACGTTTATTTGTTAAAAATGGACATGGAGACAAATTGGGTGACCTCTTACCGCCTAAACTTGAACATAACTATAATACACGTTATGGAAGCGATTATAATAACTATAGTTGTAAAACGGACAGATTTATGAAATCGTTTTTTCCACAGATGGTTTCACATATGAATAGACCATAATTTTAATATTTTTAATATTTTTAAATTTGAACTCTATAACTTTTTCAACTGAAGTTATGAATAATTTTATGCATCTAGATATTCTATTGTAGTATAATGAGACTTTCTACTGATGTAATTTAACCTAATAGGTTACAAATCGGTATTTTATTAAATTATTATTATTAGTTGATCTGTGGGTATGGTCTGAAGACTGATTAGCCAGTGAAACATTATTGTCAAAGTTTTCAACAATATGTCGTACACCACCTGCTGCACGGCTTGCTCTTTCAATTGCATTTGTAGTGTTGTTGGCTCCCATGGCTTTAATTAAATATTTCAGATCCTTGTTCCTGTTCTCCTGAAGTAGGCGAATCTCAATATTCCTTGAATTGCCTCCCTTCCAATTAACTGTTCCAGCCCACATAATCTGATGTGATTCTGCTTGTGAGAGAAATGCTTCTAATTGAATAATGCTGATAGGCATTTCAATTGCATATGCATTGTAACCAGGCATTGACTTGAAATGCTGTAGTAGTTGCTTGTGAAGAATGAGCAGTTCCTCTTCGTTTCCTTCTCGCGCAGCATCTTTAAAATCTACAATAATAAAATAGTAACGGAGAAGGAACAATGAATAGTTCATTACACCATCTCGCTGCTCATTACTGGAGGGGGATTCTTGAAGTGGAAGTAAATATGTTCCAACAAACTCATACAGAGCTTCATCAAAATATTTCTTCTTGTTGTTATCAACAAGAATGTTGTGGAATGGCGGTATATGCTTTGTTGGTCGAGCTTCCTGTGACTGCATCTGGGGAAAAGGGAAGATTACTGGGTAATCAATCAATCAAATCAATCAATCAAAAACCTTTATTTAAGCACGGTAAAATCTACGGTTTCGATTAATTTGAGTGCCATGGACAGCCAAGGATTATTGTGAAGGATCAAACGATGAAAACAACAAAACCTCTTGAAGGTTGAAGCTAGTTGAACCCTGCCGTTTACTCAATCTATGAGCTGTAGCAGCCTATTAACCATAGATATCTTATATAAACTAGATTAGGCATCTATCCAAGAATATTCCAGCGGTTAACCCCATTTGAATAGATGGCGGCCATGTTGGTAGTTCGCACTCTCTAATAAACGCTTAACGGCAACAATAACTTTCATCATTTGAATAGTTTGAAAATGTATTTGGAATAGGTTTAACTTAATGTTTAAGTTCCCTGTTTAAGAAATAGAAAACATACGAGTTTTCTCATTTCATGGGAATATCCTGAGTCTGCAATCACGGCTTCAATTTTTGAATTGCAGAATAATTAGATGCACTATCTAGTGTATATAAGATATCTATGCTATTAACAGGTGGACGTGTTTTTTTGTTTCATGTTTGGTTTTGTACTTTTTGCTAAAAATGAACAATTAGGCTATGAAACTGAAATATTTTTCTGTTTATATAAAATCACTTTAATCTTGTAGAAACACGACTAAAAACGTGAACGTTTTCTTGAGAAGTAAACAACTTTTTAAACGTTTTTATCCAATTTGGCAAATGTTTTACAGTTGACAGTGTATATTTTAAAAAACTAAACATTGTTTCGTAGCTATTTTTTGGTTTAGTGATATTCCTATCATAATTATGTAAAATTGCTGTATAGACTCGCAAGTGATTTTGCACTCAAAACGTAGTATTATTCAACGCTTTTTTCCATTAGAAACCTTTCAGAAATGGCTGTTTTTTAAAAAAAAAACCCGGTCAATTTTTGTTTTGTTTTGATCATGCGATTGCGTGGGATAGTTCACGTACTGGTCCCGGGAACATCCCGCACGCTACTGTAGGGAGCCTCTTAAGAACAAATATAAAAAGACAGTTTACACTTAGACTTTACAAATATTAAGATACTACAATATGCCACTGATTTACAAAATTGCCGTGCGGGAGACAGTTTCATATAGAAAATATATAAGTTATCAATTTCTATTTTGAATTGACTAAGAGAGCATATTGCATGCCCGTACATTTTGAGGCAACTCATTCCACAACTTACACTGTCCCGCTGTAACTAAAACTTCGTTTACCATAGTTCGTTCGCGGTTTTGGCACAAATAAAGTGTTTCCAGAGTTTCTCAAACTGGGTTAGGTGGAAAACGCGGACATGCGGACACGCGGACATGCGGACAGGCGGACATGCGGACACGCAAGTCAAGTGGAAAACGCGGACATGCGGACACGCAAGTCAAGTGGAAAACGCGGACATGCGGACACGCAAGTCAAGTGGAAAACGCGGACATGCGGACACGAAATTTACTAAACTTCAAAAAATCTATTACGACAATAATTAATAATTTTTCGCGTGATATTGAAAGTTATCAATGCCGTGTATTTCTCTCTCTTTTCTCTGTCTTAGTTTGTAAGCTCGTTTAGTGTATTTCGTTTATTTCGCTTCTTTTTTAGTTAGAAAAACAAATCTCGCCATGGGCCATGGCTTTATATGTTCTGCATGTAAAGAAGCTCGTTTTCTGCTGGCAGAATTGATGCCATATTTACATTCAGAAAGCTATATCTGCAGGTGTGATGTCATAATTACACAATCAATTCCATGTATTTTACTTACAGTATTGAAGATTCTGAAAAATCCACTCAGAATCTTTACAAAATACAAACAACGGCAATTCAGAAAACGTTTTCATATATTCAAGTTTCAACTACATATGTTTTAATTGTCATCACGAATGATACTGGGTTATATTTTATAAGTGAGGAATCACAGAGTAATTTGATATACATACACATACGTATATATTATCAGGTCTTTTGATGCTTTACTTCCCTGCTTCAAGGTTATGTTCTCAGTGCAAAATTGTAGCTGATCATGACTAACTTGTGATTGCCGATCAACACTAGGGGTACAGTTGATCGCACGCGCAGGTATAGTTTTGCAACTATTTATTCGTCGGGATCATTATTATGATATAGAATTATCGTGAAACAGCCTATTATGTTCGAATTTTGCTCGAGAATAATTCTATTTTAATAGGTAGAAAAATGTTCAAACTTGCCAGATCTGACTTTTTGATCGAGTGGGACCTCTAAATACAGTCAAAGCATTCACAACTAATTCTTTGTTTTGTCAACTCTCGTGACAAAACTCATTGTTTTACTAGTGCCCAGAAAACTTTGTTTTTCATCAGACCTCGACGATTGTAGCAATTTCTTAACGACGACTTTTTCTGCTACTGTTTTTTGCTCACTCTTCAAAGGGGCAAGTAACTCTGCGCCAAATGTACCTCTTCCAATCTCACTAGTATCAGAGAGATCAGTCCACAAAAATGTTTCAAGACCTTTCGTGAATTCGTGATAGGAGACCTTCGATTTTGAAAAAGAAGGGAGCTTAAACGACATCTTGTGGTGAATACTCTAACAGCAAAGCATAGATCGGATCGGAACTAACAGCAAAGCATAGATCGGATATTCGGATCGGAACTAACGGCAAAGCATAGATCGGAAGTAATTTAAGCAGGCCTTTCGTTGTCACACGAGCAGGTGTGATATGTCCTTTACATATCACTCTATTTTAGTTGAAATGATCAAAACTGAAACGCAGACAGTATGAATACGCCAATCTCGAAGTGCTCTAACCAACTGACCTATAGAATCCTGTTGTCGAACGCAAACCGCAAGTCCATGTGTATATATACTAAGGCGATGCCAATCTAGAGGATTTTGGGCAATTGCTGGAATTTTTCTCAACTGCTCCTGGTTAGGGCCGGTTAGGTATAAAAAAATCTATAAAAGTGACATTCGAAATTTCCATCTACAAAACCCATCAGTAATTAATTCTATCGAGTACCTATTATGAGGAAGTTGTCGCTGTTCGCAAAGGATTAAAGTAGGTGCGAAGTGTCAAAATGGACGGGCATTCTATATCATAATAATGATCCCGACGAATAAATAGTTGCAAAACTATACCTGCGCGTGCGATCAACTGTACCCCTAGTGTTGATCGGCAATCACAAGTTAGTCATGATCAGCTACAATTTTGCACTGAGAACTTAACCTTGAAGCAGGGAAGTAAAGCATCAAAAGACCTGATAATATATACGTATGTGTATGTATATCAAATTACTCTGTGATTCCTCACTTATAAAATATAACCCAGTATCATTCGTGATGACAATTAAAACATATGTAGTTGAAACTTGAATATATGAAAACGTTTTCTGAATTGCCGTTGTTTGTATTTTGTAAAGATTCTGAGTGGATTTTTCAGAATCTTCAATACTGTAAGTAAAATACATGGAATTGATTGTGTAATTATGACATCACACCTGCAGATATAGCTTTCTGAATGTAAATATGGCATCAATTCTGCCAGCAGAAAACGAGCTTCTTTACATGCAGAACATATAAAGCCATGGCCCATGGCGAGATTTGGTTTTGTAACTAAAAAAGAAGAAACGAAATACACTAAAGAGCTTACAAACTAAGACAGAGAAAAGAGAGAGAAATACACAACCTCGGCATTGATAACTTTCAATATCACGCGAAAAATTATTAATTATTGTCGTAATAGATTTTTTGAAGTTTAGTAAATTTCGTGTCCGCATGTCCGCGTTTTCCACTTGACTTGCGTGTCCGCATGTCCGCGTTTTCCACTTTGACTTGCGTGTCCGCATGTCCGCGTTTTCCACTTGACTTACGTGTCCGCATGTCCGCGTGTCCGCATGTCCGCGTTTTCCACCTAACCGTCTGAAAATGCCTTATCGTGAATGTCTAACCAATGAAATTCAACGTTCTTTTTGATCAGTTCGCGAAGGGGAGCTGTGACTTCGGACACTTTAGGCGCGAACTTAGCTACGAAATTCACCATTCCGAGTAAGCGTTGTACATCTTGTTTATTGCTCGGTTTTACGTAATCGTTAATTGCTTTAATCTTGTCTACGTCAGGTTTGACACCGTGTTGAGTGAGGCACTCACCGAGGTAGGTAATCTCGGTCTGTCGAAATTGGCATTTCTCTCGACTCAATTTCATATTTATCTGACTAACGCGATTAAGTACATGTTCTAAATTCCGATCGTGTTCGTCTATCGTACGTCCCCAAATTAGAATATCGTCTATATCGGTCTCGCAACCGGATATGTCTCGAAAGTGCTCGTGAACAGTCTTATGAAAAACTTCTTGTGCAAATACCACGCCGAAAGGTACTACAGTGAAGCGATAACGACCAAACGGGGTATTAAACGTAAGAAAGGAACTTTCTTTGTCTAGTGGCATTTGCCAAAATCCCGATGTGGCGTCTAATTTACTAAAGTATTTAGCACCTGTCAAACGACTGGTTATCTCTTGTTGCGTAGGCAATTGATAATGTTCTCGACGTATCGCTTTATTCAGGTCTCGAGGGTCGATACAGATACGTAGTTTACCGGACCGTTTTTCGTTGACAACCATGGAATTGACCCATGCCGTAGGGCCGTCGACTTTTTTGATTATTCCGTTCTCTTCCATAGACGACAGTTCGCGATGAACTCTGTCTCTAAGGGTTGCAGGCAATTTCCGAGGGGGGTGAACGACGGGGGTGACGGTGGGGTTAACTTTTATGTGATAGGGTTCAGATATCCGTCCGAGTCCTTCGAAGCAGGGTGCATATTTCGTGAATATTTGTTCGCTCGATAGTCCGGATAGGCAACTCGTTTCGCTCGTAATTTGTTCAATGTTATTAAACGTAATAAGTTGCATACTCTTGCAGTCTGCGCAACCTAAGAGAGATGTTCCCGTTTCGACCACATGAAATTCAACAACTCGAGTCGAATCTTTATGGGTGCATCGTAAATAACATTTGCCAATAACAGGGATGGGGTGTCCACCAAAGGCTGTCAGTTTCGCCTGGCTTAGTTTCAGCTTGTGATGGCGCTGTCGTCTCGGTACGACTTTCTCAAAATCAGATTTAGTTAAAATGTTTGTCTCAGCCCCAGAGTCGAGTTTAACTTGTGTAATGCTTCTATGTGCTTATAGAAGCTTTATTCATGAGTAAAAGATACACGTCTGATTATGTCTAGGTGTTCTAGCGAGTGTCCTTGAGGTTCCTATTACAATTACATGTGCTAGTGATTATGATGTGAACTGTCAATCAACCTAATTGATGTATGTATATAGCTACTATATATGAGCATATATTACATCCCCCTTTTTCTAAATTAAAAGTAATTATTACCAAATTATATATAACGTAAAATGAATTATTTAAGAATCAAGTCTATCTTTGGATTACGTGTTCGATTCAATATTTAAGTAAACGTATTCAAACAATATGGCAATCATGCTCCATATGTTCACGTCTTGTAGTTCGGATTCTGGTTTATCCGTCTGCCATAACGGCTTGTCTTCAGTTGGGGTAGGTTTGGCGCTATTGGGATTTGGATGTTGTTTCTTTCTGCATTGGTTGTTGGTTGTGGGATCGGGTCTTGGGGATCGTCAATATCCGGTGTGTCTAGGTCAGCTTGATGTTCTCTAGTCTTTCGTAGATGTCTGCGATTCCGTCGATATTCCGTTCCGTTCTCACCCTTTATTACGTAGCTTCGTGGTGCTTCGTGCTTTCGTATCACCGTCCCACGGGTCCATGCTGCTTGAGGATCTTTCTTAAATCTCACTGCATCACCTTTTTCTAATGGTGGCAGAGACTTAGCAGTGCGGTCATAGTGTTTTCTCTGTTGTTGTTGCTGTTGTTGACGTGCTGCGTGGAAAGTGGTTCTGTTGACAGGTTTTGGATTAAGCTTTCTTTGGGATATGGGAAGGGGTGAGCGGAGTCGTCTGCTCATTAGGGCTTGTGCTGGGGTGACGCCATCTATAGGGGTGTTGCGGTAATCTAACAACGCGAGATATGGGTCTTGATTGGCGACTTTGCATTTTTCAAGAAGGTTCTTGACTGTTTGGACTGTCTTTTCATGTAGACCACCAGACTGGGGGTATCTCGGGCTGATAGTGTTATGGATGAAGTTGTAGTCGTTAGCGAACTGTTTGTACTCTTCGGATGAGTACTGTGGGCCGTTATCGGAGACTACACTTTCTGGGATTCCGTGTCGACTGAATATGGACTTTGTCTTGTTGATGACTGTCCGTGCTTTCGTGTTTCGAAGTTCAGAAACTTCGGGGTATCGGCTGTAATAGTCAACGACTATTAGATGCGGTTTTCCATTCCAGTCAAAAAGATCAGTGCCGACTTTTTGCCAGGGTCGACTGGGAATTTCATGTGGATGAAGTGGTTCTCGTTGGTTGGCACTAGCGTGATGAAGACATGTGGAACAGTTCGACACTAATTCTTCAATCTGGGAATTCATACCTGGCCAGAATATGCTCTCCCTAGCCAATCTCTTTGTCTTCTCAATTCCTTGGTGTGATTGGTGGAGTTTTTGGAGGGTGTCAGCTCGCAATGATGGTGGAATGAGGATGTTATGGGCCTTGTAGATAAGCCCACCTTCGGTTGTCAGTTCTTGGCGATATGGGTAGTACGGTTGTACTTCACTTGGAACCAGTATCTTATGATCTGGCCATCCATCTTGTATCTGTTTGACCAAAAGTTGCATTGTTTCGTTTGTATGGATTTCATCTTTGATGGCTTGGAGTTTCCGGTCAGTGACGTAAGACTCGGATGACATCAGATGGATGAATCGCTCCGAAGCTATGTCTTCTTCAAATTGCTCTGGTATTATCTCAGGAGGAAATGCACGTGACAGCGCATCAGCGATGTACATTTCACTTCCTTTCTTGTAAACCAAGTTGATGTCGTAGGCTTGTAGCTGCATTAACATTTTCTGGAGGCGACTCGGTGCTTGTGACAAGGGTTTTTTGAGAATAGCTTCCAGAGGCTTGTGGTCGCTTTCGACAGTAATGGTTTTACCATAAACGTACTGATGGAATCTTTTGCAGGCGAAAACAACAGCCAGCAGTTCCTTTTCGATCTGTGCGTAGCGTCGTTGTGTGTCGTTCATGGCTTTCGATGCGTAAGCTACTGGACCTTGGTTTTGGATTAGAGCAGCTCCAAGACCGTTTTGTGAAGCGTCGACTTGGAGTGTCACTGGTTTTGCTACATCGTAGTAACGCAGAGTAGCAGGGTCAGTTAGTGAATGCTGTAGATCTCGAAACGCTTTCTCGTGTGTTTCGAGCCAGTGGAATGCAACGTTCTTCTTGATGAGTTCTCTCAGAGGTGCGGTGACGTCTGAAATGTTCGGTGCAAACTTGGCGATAAAATTGACCATGCCTAACAGTCGTTGGACGTCATGCTTGTTCGTAGGTTTGGGGTAATTCTTGATTGCTTCAACTTTGGTCTCGTCAGGCTTGACACCATTTGCCGTAAGCGTTTCTCCCAGATAGGTTATCTTGGTTTGTCGAAACTGACATTTGTCTTTGCTAAGTGTCATATTGATATCTGTCACTCCATTGAGGACACGTTCAAGGTTTTGATCATGTTCTTCCAGTGTTCGTCCCCAAATCAAAATATCATCGATGTCCGTCTCGCATCCGGGTAAATCATGAAATTTCTCGTTGACAGTTTTATGAAACACCTCTTGTGCAAACACGACACCAAATGGTATCACAGTAAAACGATAGCGACCAAATGGCGTATTAAATGTCGTCAAATAAGAGCTCTCTTCGTCAAGTGGCATTTGCCAAAATCCAGAGTTCGCATCCAGTTTACTGAAGAATTTGGCGTCTGTCAGGCGGCTTGTTATCTCCTGCTGTGTGGGGAGTTGGTAATGCTCTCTACGCAGAGCTTTGTTCAGATCTCGTGGATCGATGCATATACGTAATTTTCCCGAGCGTTTCTCGTTAACTACCATGGAGTTTACCCATGCCGTGGGCTCGTTGACTTTCTTAATGATTCCCCTGGATTCCATTTCTTGTAGTTCGTTCTGGACTCGATCTCTCAACGCTGAAGGAAGCTTACGAGGTGGATGAACAACAGGCGTTGCGTCAGGGTTAATCTTAATGTGATAAGGGTCTGATATGCGTCCTAATCCGTCAAAGCATTTGGAATATTTCTCGAATATCTGTTCACTTGTAAGTCCGTTTAGTGAACTTTGAGGTGACGCGTCGTTAATTGGCTGGTTGCGCAGCTGGTCTACGTTATGAAATGTTATAAGTTTCATACTTTTACAGTTTGTACATCCGAGCAAGGATTTGCCCGTCTCGACCACTTGAAACTCGAGTACTTCAGTCGCTCCTTTGTATTGACACTTTAAATAGCATTTTCCGATGACAGGAATGTTATGGCCCCCGAAAGCGGTCAGTTTTGCGGCGCTCGTTTTGAGCTTGCTACGACGTTGTCGTTTTGGAACAGCGGCTTCGAAATCTTTCTTTGTTAGAACGTTTGTCTCGGCTCCGGAGTCGAGTTTTATGCGAATTGTCGTGTTGTTAATTTTAAGAGATGCGTGTTCTTCGTCATTGTCACTTGTCACAGCTGTCTTCACCATATCAATTCCGTGCGTCGAGGAGTCGCTTTCATAATCTACATCATGAACCGATTTCTTTGGGTTTTTAGCTTGCGATCGACATAGTTTGGCAAAGTGTCCTAGTTTTTGACAGTTATTGCACTTTTTCCCATATGCAGGGCAAGATTTTAGCTCGTGAACTCGACCACAATTACCGCAGGATTTGTTTGGGGGTTTTTCGTTTTCCGGTTTGATGTTGTGGTTGCGAAAATTCCCTCTGTAATTGTGTTTTCGCTGGTCTTTCCCCAATGCGTCGACATTGGCGGAACTCTGATCGCTTAGCGACTTCACTTGCTTGCGAGATACTTCGGATGCTCGGCATATATCCAAGGTTTTCTGCAGAGTTAACTCGGATTCACGAAGTAGACGTTCTTTAATACTTTGGTTACGAATTCCACAAACTATCCGGTCACGAATTAGCCCATCGTGAAGTGTCTCAAATTCACATGTTGCTGCGAGAGTGCGCAAAACAGTCACATACTGGTCGATGCTTTCGTTTTCGTCTTGATTCCGTATGTTGAATTTGTGTCGTTCGAACGTAATGTTCTTTCTCGGGTTACAGTAGGTTTTAAACGCTGATTTTAGCTCGTTTGTTGTTCTCTTCCACGTTGTTGCCCCCTCTTGGTTTGTCTCTGTTTCTGGCGTTGCGAACGTCAAGGTCTTGTGAACTTCTCGGCCTTTCTCTCCAATGCATAGAAGAAAGTATGAGCATCTTTCCTCTTCAGACCGTCCTTTCAGCTCAGTCTTCTCGAAGAGCGTCCAGTGCTCCTCAAACTTGCGAAAGTTTTCACTGACGTTCCCGTCTAATTTCAAAGGTTTAGGCGCTGCCCATTGAAGGTTTCCTGATGCCATGTTTACTGCTTTTTATGGCATCCCACTTCTGACACCATGTAATTCTTCTATGTGCTTATAGAAGATTTATTCATAAGTAAAAGATACACGTCTGATTATGTCTAGGTGTTCTAGCGAGTGTCCTTGAGGTTCCTATTACAATTACATGTGCTAGTGATTATGGTGTGAACTGTCAATCAACCTAATTGATGTATGTATATAGCTACTATATATGAGCATATATTACAACTTGAATAGGTTTATTATTGATTTTTAGCGTCGCGTGTTCGTTTGTTGAGCCGTGTATATTGCCTTGTACTTCGTCGATACCGTGATCTGAAGTGTCACCGTCTATTTCGAGGTGTTGGACATGAGAGTTGTGATGAGAGTTTGGTCGGTTCTTGCTGGAACGACATAACTTTGCAAAATGTCCACTTTTACCACAACTGTTGCATGTTTTACCGTATGCGGGACATTGCTTCGGTTCGTGAGATCTGCCACAATTCCCACAGCTTTTCTTGTTTTGATATCTGGGACGTTCCCGTTTTGTATCGCGTGGTTTTTTCTGGCGTGTATCACGTTGACCACCTTGGTGTAGTGCGTCTACGTTCACAGGAGACTTATCGCCCAGAGCCTTTACTTGTTTTCGAGATACTTCAGCAGCTCTGCAGATGTCGACTGCTTTCGTTAAAGTCAAGTCCGTTTCGCGTAACAAACGCTCTTTTAAGCTTTGGTTCTTGATGCCGCAGACGATTCTGTCGCGTATAAGACCGTCGTGGAGGGTTTGGAATTCACAAGTCGCAGCTAAAGTTCGTAGTACAGTCACGTATTGATCGATCGTCTCATCTTCGGCTTGGTCTCGAATGTTAAACTTGTGGCGCTCGTATGTGATATTTTTTCTGGGGTTACAGTACTGTTTGAAGGCGGTTCTCAATTGTTGTGTCGTTCGCTTCCAAACTAGCGTATCACCTTCGCCGGCTTCGCTTTCTGGCGTTGGGAAGGTGAGAGTTTGGTGGACCTCGCGTCCTTTCTCGCCGATACATAGTAGAAAGTAGGAACATCGTTCTTCCTCAGATTTCCCTTTCAATTCCGTCTTTTCGAAAAGAGCCCAATGTTCGTCAAACTTGCGGTAGTTTTCGCTGACGTTGCCTTCAAGATTGAGTTGCTTAGGAGCTGCCCAGTAAGTGGTTCCTGCTGCCATGTTCAGTTGTTCAGAGGTCCACTCCTGACACCATGTAATAGACTCTTGGATATCTTTGGTACATGTATATTTAGTGAGAATATATATGTTGAGCTCAGCGTAGGCTATATAAGACTGACTCATTAGTTATATGTTACATAATACTTATTCATGATCTGATCAAACTAATTGGATCGAGTGTCAATCATTACGTATATAATCATCATATATTACACACACTACGGTGTAAGATTTAAAAACTGACGGGTATTGTGTATATACGTTAGATATTTGAAGATCAAATTTCCTGCGTCTGGAGTTAAAATTTGGCTACAACTTTCGAATTTTCCGGCTGGAGGTAACGTTCTAGTTATATTCCGATTTCAATGATTCGTAAATGCGTGATTAATAGTGCTCCAAGACGTGGAACAGATTTTAAGAAATGCCGAGATGTGCCGACCTAGGTCAGATTTAGGTCCGCCCTCTTTTGCCGACCTCAATTTTGACGGTTTTGACTTTTCGAGGGCTGCAAAATGGATGCCGACAAAGGAAAAAGGTCGCTTCGCGCAGAAAAATTCGCTAGTGGAAAAACGACTTAATAGAGGGTAATAAAGCGCATTTAAACATCACATTTACTATAGATGGCCCTGAAGGGGTAAAATGGGAACTGGGATTGACCTATTTTTAGACTGGGAAAATGGGATTTGGGTTGCTGGGACTGGGATTTGGCCACTGGGAATGGAAAATGAAGTCCTAAAAAATGGGAATGGGATTGAAGTAATGTGAGTCGATTCCCAATTTTGATCCGTTTTTGGTGTCGTTAGTCATGATTTTCGTTGTTAACTATATTATTCACAGCATTACCTGCGAACAGGCATACTCTGGCGCCCGGAATTTTGGGTTGTCTGATTATGCGTGTCTCAGAATGATGCAAATGCCATTTCCGGGATTCAAATTTAAAAATTTTCCGTGCCTTCGCCAAGAATATTCCAGCGGTTACCTCCATTTGAATAGATGGCGGCCATGTTGGTCGTTCCCACTCGCTAATAAACGCTTAAAAACAGCAATAACTTTCATCATTTGAATACTTTAAAAATGTATTTGGAATAGGATGAACTTAATATTTAAGTTCCCTGTTTAAGAAATAGGAAATATACGAATCTACTCTCATTTCATGGGAACGACCTGAGACTGCAATCACAGCTTCAATTTTTGAATTGCAGAATAATTAGATGCACTATCTAGTGTATTGATGCACCAATTCGTTAAGCAAATATTCTAAGACAATTAAGAAAACAACTATGACACACACAATGTTGTGGGAAAAGGGTTGTCGTGGAGAAATGTTCCGATTATACTTTAAACTGTGGCCAAAGTGTCGTCCCACAGACTCACAATTACCGCAATATGATTATGATATAATACATTGATTTGTGTGAGTCTATGGGGTTGAGGGTGACCTTTGGGAGCACTCCATCCCCAAACAACCAAGTGTTTTTATTTTTACAACCAGACTTGCAAAGTCAATTCCAATACTGTATATTACAAAATATAGATGTGCCTGTAATAACATATTAACCAGTAACTACTCCATAATACTTTATCTTTAACACTACATGAATTGCATTTCACGTGAATCGTGATGACGGATTGCATATCAAAACAATATTTACAGATTTTTATTTATTTTGTGATACGAGTTATGATACAGTGGTGCAAATCCTTGAAGGGTGGGATGGGTGGTAATTTCGAAGTACTTTGCCGCAGAGGTCATACAGTTTTGCTTGCAAGTGACACAATGAGGCTTACTGATCCAAGCAGGAAACTATGTAGACCAAGAGGTGAAACCTGATTGGTCTATTTTCCCGCACGCATGGGAAGAGATTTGACAATGGTTTGTTGTTAATTCAGCCTTGCGCTTTGCACGTGTTTGATCACACGATTCACAGATTGACCTTTGTACTCCAGGAGACTTTGCACAACTTTACTCTTGTCCTAACGCTTGTTTCATTAACTCAAGTTTATAATGCTATGGACATGTATAAACTTGCTTTAATGCACCAATTCGTTATATAAGCAAATATTCTAAGACAATTAAGAAAACAACTATGACACACACAATGTTGTGGGAGAAGGGTTGTCGAGGAGAAATGCTCCGATTATACTTTAAACTGTGGCCAAAGTGTCGCCCCACAAACTCACTATTACCGCAATATGATTATGATATAATTATATGTCCTCAGGGGGTCGTGGTTCCCCCATGTTGGACTTTACCCAAGGGGTAGTAGATCCTCGAGATGGGCATCCTAAATGTCCAAGGGGTAGTAGATCCCCGTGATGATCATTGTTTACTTTAATGTCCAAGGGGTAGTAGATCCTCGTAATGGTGGTCATTGTTTACTTTACAACATACTGTATAATACATTGATTTGTGTGAGTCTATGGGGTTGAGGGTGACCTTTGGGAGCACTTCATCCCCACAAATATACAGCATGTGTATTCTCCATAGACGAAAAGACCCAACTCTCACCACAACTGTAATCGTATAGAAGACAGCTTCTGACGTATGATCTTTGTGCTTTTCGAAGACATATCGTCTATATTTCTCTTTCGACACACTTTAAATAATTTTAATTATTTTAATTAAAATTGATTATAATCATGTTATATACAAATAATTTTTTTTTAAATTAAACTACAAGTTGATCGTAAGACATATATTTGAGCATTACCATCACTCATACTACAGCCGGAACATCAGGGAGGCCAGGAAAACCTGCAATATCTTTACAGGAAACCTGGATGGGGCCAAGACAACCAGCAGCTTCCCCACAAAGCTTCTATCTTACAAGTGCTTGATTGGAGGGTTGGTAACACGACAAACAAAGCTCACCATCATTTTTGTTTTTTTGTGTTTATTTTGTTTGTTTTCCTTACGATTTATTTATTTTTAATGTCAATGTGTTCGTTAACAATTTTGCAACATGTATTTGTTAACCCACTTATTTTATTTGAATTATGATTGGTGGAACTTGACATAATATAATTCTCGAATTAGTGACTTTAATCTCAGAAACATAGCTTGTTCAATATTTTAAAAGAGCAGGGTCAAAATGCAATTCAGGTGTTTATAACCACAGTGTTGTGATTGAACATGCAATCATGCATGCATGAGAGTAGCAGAAATTGTAAGAATATGTATTTGGTAGACTAAAAAGATCATGCAGTATAGTGATAAGACTAATGATATCCAACTCGCTGATTTATCGCAAATGTATAGATAAAGTAGATCCTAAATTTCTCTCACACATGAACTTGATTTGCTATGTTTTGTCCAGTAAAGTATTGATAATGTATACGGGCCAAATTAGTGTTTGTTTTATTAAAGAGTGCCCTGAAATTAGTGAAATAGCTAGAAAGGACGTTTTATATAATCTACTTTTGAATGATTGAATACATTGATATACGAATGATATCAAATGACGCTTGTTGAATTCGTGTTTAGCCTCTCGATCTTCAGTGTTATAATTCCCCCAGCGGCGGTTTCATTTAACTTCATCGGTCGAGCCAACGTATTCCTATGTCCGCCAGAAGGGTAAAAGCGCTTGACCACGGTAGAGTTATACTTGAATAGACTGCGTCTCACTGAATCACACATCGATACTTGAGTCAACGTACTCCTTTGTCCACCAGAAGAGTAAAAGCGCTTGCCCGCAGCAGAGTTATATTTGAATAAGCATCGTCTCACTGAATCATACATCACTAGTTGAGCCAACGTTAGTATTCCTTTGTCCACCAGAAGAGCAAAAGCGGTTGCCCGCGGCAGAGTTATATTTGACTGATAAACTGCGTCTCACGTACTGAATTATACATCAATACTTGAGCCAACGTATTCCTTTGTCCACCAGAAAAGTAAAAACGCTTGCCCGCGGCAGAGCTATATTTGAATAAACTGCGTCTCACTGAATAATACTGTGTTACTGACCGTTGTTTTATATCCACGAAATATCTTTTCCAAAAGTATAATTTCGAAGTACTTTGCCGCAGAGGTCATACAATTTTGCTTGCAAGTGACACAATGAGGCTTACTGATCCAAGCAGGAAACTATGTAGACGAAGAGGTGAAACCTGATTGGTCTATTTTCCGGTACCCACCCATGGGAAGAGATTTGACAATGGTTTTTTTGTTAATTCAGCCTTGCGCTTTGCACGTGTATGATCACACGATTCACAGATTGACCTTTGTACTCCAGGAGACTTTGCACAACATTACTCTTATTTATTTATTTATTTATTTATATAACTTCGCCATTTATATATACCATATAATATAATACAATACAAAAACAATAACAATACAGTACAATACAATACAAAAAACAAAACGATACAATCTAACACAAGACAGTAGAGTATATATATAGTTCAGTACAGTACAATACATACAGTCAGATGGCTGGGACACCACAACAGTTAAAACCAATGGCTATTAGTAAAACACGGAGCACGGAGCACACGGAGCACGGAGTACGGAGCACACGGAGCACGGAGCACACGGAGCACGGAGCACGAAGCACACGAACTACGGAGCAGTAGAAAAACGAAAATCCTTTATAATAAAATACACTGTTTACTATTACAAATTTTTGTTCTTATTAATAAAGTTTTTTCGCGTTTTACACGTTGAGGAAGTAGAAAAATGGGGCTTTTACTGCACATATGATGCAAAACTGCCAAAAGCCATAGTATTTAAAATAGGATTGTGCCTGTGAAACTCGTCACATATCTATCAAGCTTATGAGTTATGTACTGTTATATTATATTCCGATGGCCAACGCATTAAGAAACACTTAGAGAACAGCCGATATATTTCGTTACCCCTGCCAAAAAATAGCCAAGTACTCATCTTTCAATGTAGCGGATCGACTGAACATTATAAAAGCTTGTCATGGAGAGAAGTGAATTTTCGGTTTATCCTTCGTCCCAGTGACCAGTGAGCAGTGTGCTGTACGGCCTACGTTTAAACCGTTATACATTGTTATACATAATTACTGCTTTCATTCTTTCAATCCGTTTTGAATATTCGGAATCATTCACTATTATATTATAAAACTGTATAAGATAGCTGTAGAACTATAAATGCTGTAGAATAAAATAAATAAAGAAAACTACGTTTTATCGCGGTATTTGCCGACAAATCGGTAACCGCTACAGAAAAACAGAACAAATTACAGTAAATCACAACAAACCGCGGAAGTGGAACAATTTTGTATTTCTACTGTAAGACATGCAGAACATGTACGAAATCCATACAGAAGTGTGTGTGTATCAGTTCTATACTTTTGAAACAACTAAATCAGACTTCGGAAAATTTGACAGTATTAAAGCTACTTTTGAGAATTTAGATTTTAGGTCTTTGTTTTACATGTACCCAGTAAATATTTTTGAGTTTTGAACTTTGATTCTCACAAGCTTACAATTTGTTTACAATTTACTCTGCCTCTGGCTCTGCCGTACTGCACGGCAGAGTTGATCGGAATTGTAACAAATACGCGTACACTTAAATGGTTTCCTGAATTTAGTCAATCAGATGTGTAAAAATTACTCGTTTCAATTTTATGTTTATGCTCGAAACTGCTCATGTTTACAATAGCAATTCTAACAATCTTGCCCTCCTTTTTGCCTTTGAGGCGTTGGTGTTGATTCATACACAAAATTCAAAACTCAAAAATATTTACTGGTCTGGGTACATGTAAAACGAAGACCTAAAATCTAAATTCCCAAAAGCAGCTTTAATACGGTCAAATTTTCCGAAGTCTGATTTAGTTGTTTCAAAAGTATAGAATACACACACACTTCTGTATGGATTTCGTACATGTTCTACATGTCTTACAGTAAAAATACAAAAATTGTCCCACTTCCGCGGTTTGTTGTGATTTTAATACTGTAATTTGTTCTGTTTTTCTGTAGCGATTACCGATTTATCGGCAAATACCGCGTCCGCGATTTGAAAACTTACTTTTCTTTATTTATTTCATTCTACAGCATTTATAGTTCTACAGCCATCTTATACAGTTTTATAATATTGTAAATGATTCCGAATATTCAAAACGAATTGAAAGAATGAAAGCAGTAATGATGTACTGTATATTATAACGGTTTAAACTTAGCCGGCCGTACAGCTCACTGCCACCGGTCATTGAGCCGAAGGATAAACCTAAAATTCACTTTTCTCATCACAAGATTTAATGTTCAGTCGATCCGTTACATTGAAAGATGAGTATACTTGGCTATTTTTTGGCAGGGGTAACGAAATATATCGGCTGTTCTCTACAGTAAGTGTTTCTTTATGTGTTGCCCATCGCAATATAATATAACTACATATAAGCTTGATAGATGTAAGATAACGAGTTTTACAATCCCATTTTAAATACTATGGCTTTTGGCAGCCTGGTTTTGCATCATATGTGTTTTTCAGTAAAAGCCCCATTTTCCTACTTCGCCAACGTGTCATACGCGAAAAAAACTTTGTTAATAATAACAAAAAATTGTAATAGTAAACAGTGTATTTTATTATAAAGGATTTTCGTTTTTCTACTGCTCCGTACTTCGTGTGCTCCGTGCTCCGTGTGCTCCGTACTCCGTGTGCTCCGTGCTCCGTGTGCTCCGTGCTCCGTGCTCCGTGCTCCGTGCTCCGTGTTTTACTAATAGCCAAAACCAATTACTGTGGGCCCTTTTAATATATAATAACTAGAAACAACAATTTATAACACTGTTCAAACTACGACAAGAGTTACAGTTTAAACACACAGATTTCCACGTTTTTGGATCCTCTGCATAATAACAACTATGCAGGGCTTCTGTAGAATAATTTGTAACACTATATTATTGATAACGCCGTAGGACAACAAACAATAGTTGATTTAGTCGATTGACGTAAGAAAGGTATCATATGTCATAAATAATAGACTTCGAACTGAAAGCACGAGAGAATACCAGAAGGATTGTTTGTTATATATTTTATCGTTTGAATAGTTTTAAATAAATATGTTTTAAAGTGCGCGTGTGTGTTCTATTTCCGATGGTATTGTTCTGATAGTATACAGTCCCCACGAAGCGCAACTGTCTTGCGGTGCAAGACAGAAAAGTGCAACACTTGGTCCTTCGAACCGGATAGATTTCGAAACAAAGAATCGAGATAGATACGACAATGCTGTTGGACGAGCTGACCAAGAAAAGAAGAACGCGCGCAGCGAACAGAGGTTCAGCAACGAAGATAGGGACGAAGATAAAAGAATGTTTAGCGAATACGAGTGAAACGCCTCAGCCGGACAAGAATGTGCTGAAACAGCTGAGAGACACGCTGAGCGAGAAACTCGAAGCCTTGAAACTTTTAGACAACGAGATTGTCCAGATACTAAGTAATGGCGAAGCCGAAGACGCAGAACAACAGCTGGAAAAAGAAATTCAGGAGACAGATGATACGCGAGCTGAATTACAAAAAATAATTCTCGACGTAAATGACGCATTGTTCGAAGCCTTGCCGTCACTACCGCAAGGATAAAGTACACCATCGAATCTGAGTATGAACGCTACACCCAAACAGACTGTTCGCGCAAAGCTCCCAAAGTTAGAGGTCAAAAGATTTAATGGGAAAATTCAAGAGTGGCAAGAATTTTGGGACTCCTTTGATAGTTCTGTAAACCAGAATGACGCTCTATCAGAGGTAGATAAATTCGCGTATTTGAAAGGTCTACTGGTTGGTCCCGCGCAGACAACTATCGCAGGGTTCACGTTGACAGCAACGAACTATAAAGAAGCATTAGAACTCCTGAAGACACGATATGGGAAGAAAACGGCGATACAGAGAGCTCATATTCAAGCGTTAATGAACATAAAGCCAGTACATAACGAGCGAGATGTGCGTCGACTACGGGAACTGTACCATGCCTGTGAGACAAACTGCCGAGGTCTGAAAACCCTGGGAGTGGACGAAAGTTTGTATGCTACGATTGTTGTTCCGGAAATACTCGACAAGCTGCCGGAATCCCTTCGTTTGACGATAACTCGTGGGTCAAGTGCAGGTGGATCAGATTTTCTAAATTGGACGATGAAGGATATTTTAAAGGCACTTTTAGATGAAATTGAATTGCGTGAAGCACACGAGACATCTACGACGAACACGTCAAAACAAGAAGGAAGGAAATCACAGTTTGTAGATGGATCGGCAGCTTCTTGTGAATCATACCACCAGGGAAGGGAAGCCAAGATGCGTATATTGTTTACAAGAACATTTATCACAAGATTGTAAGAAAATTCAGGATGCTGGTGAGCGTATAAACAGATTCTTCGTAAGTACGGACGGTGTTTTATATGTTTAAAAGAGGACATATTAGTAGTAATTGTTTAAATACGAGTAAATGTAATGCATGCAGTAAACGACATCATATTTATATTTGTGAGAGCCATGCTAATGGGTCTATAACCACTGACGTCGTTCATTCCACACATTCGTGCGTTGGGTCGGCAAATAGAGTAGCATTGCAGACAGCTCAGGCTTTGGTAATGGGAGGAAAGGAGAATGTGAGAGTGCGGGTTATGTTTGACTCAGGAAGTCAACGGTCATTCGTTACGGGCAAGGTAGCTCAGAAGACAGGAGTGCCAGTAAAGAGGAAGGAATGGGTGGAAATTAGAACGTTCGGACAGGAGAAAGTTGAAGGGAAGTTGAGAGAAGTGTTTGAATTGAGTGTAGCCCCAGTACAGGGGGGGGAGAGAGTGTTAACATTGAAGTTTATGGAGTAAACAGCATTTCACAGATTAGGAATGAGCATGTAAAGGGTTATAGTTTTCCGATGTTTGTAAGACCAAGAATGTGTTAGAAATAGAGTTACTAATCGGCGCAGATTATTTGTGGTTATTTCAAGAAGGGCGTACGGTTAGGGGCAAGAGTGATGAACCTGTTGCGGTACAAACCAAATTAGGATGGGTGTTGTCAGGTCCACTGAAGAGTAGCTCTGAAGATGATGATGGTCCTTCATCGTGTGCACAGGTAAGTGTAAACCTTATTGTGCATGTAACTTCATCAAAGAATAGATCCCTTGAAGCATGTGTTGAGAAATTATGGGATTATGAAACATTAGGTATAAAGCATGAAGAGGAAGCTAGTGAGTTATTAAATGATTCAATACATTTCAAGGGCCAACGATATAGTGTAAGTTTACCTTGGAAGGAAGGGCATAGTTTATTGCCAACTAATTATAGCTGTAGTATGCAGAGATTAAAGGGACATCTTTTAAGATTAAAGAAGGAGCCAGAAGTTTTGCAAGAGTATGACAGAGTAATTAAAGAACTGCTAGAGCTATAGGTATTATAGAACCAGTTGTAGAGTTAGAGAGAGCTGATAAGATCCATTATCTACCACATGCTGTGGTTCGTAAAGATACAAAGACCACTAAGGTCAGGGTTGTGTATGATGCATCGAGTAAAGAGACTAAGAATGGTGGATCTTTAAATGACTGCTTACATGTTGGGCCACCTCTATCCGCGTTGTTGTATCACATTATATTGCGTTTTAGAGAAAAGCGAATAGCGCTTGTAGCAGATATAGAGAAGGCTTTTTTAAATATTGAAATTGATCCGTGTGACAGAGATTGTTTGAGATTTCTTTGGGTGAGCAACATACATGAAGATGAGGTAAAGCCAGTAGAGTATAGATTTTGTAGAGTTGTTTTTGGTGTGAACTGTTCACCATTTTTGCTGAATGCCACACTTCAACACCATCTTGACCGCTTTTCGAAGGGTAATCCTGTATTGACTCGAAAGTTGAAGGACGGCTTTTATGTTGATGGTCTGGTAACTGGAGAACAAACCCCTGAGCATGCATTATCATTATATGAGACTTCTAGTAACAATTTAGGTTTGAAGCTTAGGAAATGGCTCAGTAATAGTAAACTTGTATTAGAGAAAATCCAATCAAAGGAAGAAATCAAGCCTGATAGAGGAAACTTGGCATGTGAAGAAACATTTGCTAAGTCATCCCTTTGCATGACAGGCAAAAATGACACATCAGAGAAAGTCCTTGGGTTAGCTTGGAATTGTACAACTGATGAATTTCAGTTTTTGTTTCAGGGTTTAGTTGAGAAAGCAAAATCGCAACCTGTAACCAAACGCAATATTCTTAGAGTATTAGCTGGGTTGTTTGATCCATTGGGAATTCTTAGCCCAATGGTAGTAAGTATTAAGATGTTGTTTCAAGCACTGTGTTTGGACAAAGTAGATTGGGATTCTGAACTAAATGGAAACTATTTGAAGCAATGGTTAGGTTGGGTTCATGATCTTGAAGTTGTAGCTCAAATTATGATACCAAGGCGTGTGTATGGAAATCTAATTGGAAAACCCAAATGTTCATTACATGAGTTTGGTGATGCTAGTTTGAAAGCCTATTGTGCAGTTGTGTATTATGTCTGTGAATTAAGTTCAGACGAGACTAGTTACAAAATTGAAGAGAATGCTGAGACAAAGGTTAAGCGTAGGTTTCGGCATCTAGCGAAACTGCGAGTTCACTTTTGGGAGAGATGGAGAAAGGAATACTTGACGAATTTGAGAGAGCATCATAGAAGTAAGAGGGAGAAGAGGGATAGGAACGTGAAGAAGGGAGATGTAGTTTTAGTATTTGATGAGAACCTTAAGAGAGGATTTTTGGAAGTTAGGTAGGATTGAGAGTTTAATTGTCGGTAGAGATGAAGTGGTTCGAGGAGCGAAAGTGATGACTAAAGGAAATCCAGTATATCTTAATAGACCAGTTCAGAAATTGTATCCTGTAGAGTTAAATGAGAACGGAAGCAGTACAGAAGAAAGAAAGGATAATAAAGTTGAAAATGAAGTGGATGGGTATGATAACCAGAAAGGAAAGACGAAAATTAATGAGAAAGGAAAGACGGAAATGAATGAGAAAGACGGAGGGTAAGGTGGAAAGCTGTGTCCATAGTAATAGACCTAGGAGAGCAGCAGCATTGGATGCACGTTGGAGAACACAAGTCATGTTTGACCCTTACAGGCTCAAAGGGGGGAGTGTGTAGAATAATTTGTAATACTATATTATTGATAACGCCGTAGGAGACCAAACAATGGGTGATTTAGTTGATTGACGTAAGATATGTATCGTATGTCATAAATGATAGACTTCGAATTGATTGTCAGACTGAAAGCACGAGAGAAAACCAGAAGGATTGTTTGTTATATATTTTATCGTTTGAATCGTTTTAAATAAATATGTTTTAAAGTACGCGTGTGTGTTCTATTTCCGATGGTATTGTTCTGATAGTATACAGTCCCCACGAAGCGCAACTGTCTTGCGGTGTAAGACAGAAAAGTGCAACAATCCGTACTATCATGCATTTTAATCTAAAATATTCCGCTCACGAACGTTACCGAGGTTTCCAACTATATATGCAAAAACGTCAAAAAGAAAGCCGTCCCAAATAATTGACAAGCTGTCATTTAATTGTTTTATATGCAATGCGCACTTTACATGCAATCAGTAAAATTGTCAATTATCATTTAACGAGATTGCTGCCCCCCCCTAAAAAAAAATAATTGGGGTTTAGCAAGTAAGTGTCCTTTTTAAATGGCTACCCCAGACGCTCCACGTTGCTACCGCCGGCGTCTGCACGCACAACTATAAGTACTATTTAAAGCACGAGTAGGAGTGTTTTATCAGATATAAAGTCACTCCACATGACATATGGCTGACATGATTTGCCACAAAGTTTATGAATTATTCAGTATTTTAACTATAGTAATCCGTTTCGAACAGTACAATTATTAATATCAATTTGAAAGTTTTATAAATGATGAATTTGTAGATTACTACAAGTAGTGTAGAGTTGCCTTGCATGTTACATATAGTGAAGGAGGGACAACTTTAACACTAAAGTTAACAAGGAAGAATACTTTTTATTTGGGAATAAAATAGTTTTTTCTAAAAATGAGCAAATTATCAACCGTTATTAATTGATTGCCATAGAAGGTAATGTTATTTATTAAAAAATAATGGGATTGCATATAAAACACAGCCACGCGTTATTATTAAAAACATAATTCATTATTAAACATAAACAAAAAATCATATAAGATTGTTCTTCTTCGTGTGAACAGTTTAAAAAATGAAAGCGCAAACTATATTCGTGCTATGTTTGTGCGTACTGCTAATTTTTTCAATGACAGAAGCTGGTAGACGAAGACGTCGGAGAAGAAGAAGAAGAAGAGGTGGTTTGGTGAGTTGAAATCAAACAATTCCAAAAATTAATTGAGCAATTCCATTATCTAGTTTTCTGCTTATATACGGATATATAAATATGTCATAGGATTACATAATTATACTAGCTGTAATAAAAACGAAATGATTTATCGTTTAAAATAGAATAGAGCACGGAGCGAAAGGGCTCATAATATGATGAGAAGTAAAAGTTCGTTCGAAACATCGAAGTTCTAGGCTACTTGAAGTTTTCAGGTAGTTGAAGTGCCTCTCAATCCGAAACTTCCTGATGTTATTGTCACTACTTACACTGGTTTATACAGAGTTTAGTTTATATCATAATAATATGATGAGTCTTTTTAAATTTAATCGAGGATAAGATAATAGTATCTTTCAGCAGTTGAACTTTTTGTAAGCATGTGCACGTCGCTCTAAAAAAATTCTGAATTAAGGGATAAGATGCCTATGACTGAATTGGATTAGTCAATCTCTTTAACTTCGGATTGGGCCCCACTGCATGAACTGTTAAATATATGCAGTTTCTTACCGAATAATGTACAGTTATTTTTACAGTATGTATACTGTAATCGTAAATTACAGTATTTAAAAATCTGTTAAAATTTGACATGTTTTTGACCGTATAATCGTCCACAGTAGCCAGTAGGTATTCTGTAATAAATTGTAAATTAATTACGGTTAAATGGACTGTATTTAAAAACAAATCTGTTATTTGACATGTGTTTGTCCGTTATCTTTTATAGTATAAGTATATATAGTATTACACTGTAATTGTAAAATACGGTGCAGTGGACTGTTTTGAATAATTACAGCCTTTTTACGACATAAATACAGACTTCGGTTAAAGAAAAGTCTCTGTTGCGTCCCAGTTGCATGACAGTATTTCTTACTGTAACATTACGGCGTTTCTTTAACAGTGTGAAAAGGACTTTTCGGTCAAAAATACAACATTATTCCCAGTTTTCACGTCCGCCCAATACCCTGGTGTGGAAAGACCTTGTCATGGTCTGGTTACGTGAGTGAAGCCCACATCTTAAACCCCAACGTTTTTTTGTATCATATTTAGAACCAATGCCATTTCTTTCGAATCTTCTTTACGAATTATAAATTAATATTGTGATAAAATTACAACAAATAATTATTCTTAAAAATTAATAAAACTAACAAGTGTTCTAAAATGCTTTATAATGTACATTACAAATTTGTAAAATGCCTTAATTAAATACTTTATTATTAGCATGACAAAATTACTGGATGCTGATTGGTTGAGAGGAGTACAATTATTTCATTAATTGTACTGCAGTACAATTAATGATTTTCCCAAAACAAACAAAATGGCGGAAACGTATTTTAAACTCAAGCGTGAAATGAAATTGCCGTGGAGGAACTAGATGAAAATACGAACACAAGCACCAAATTTTGCTTTAACAAAAGAACTAAATGAAAATACAAACAAAAGCACCAAATTTTGTTGAAAGTCTGGCAGGACTGGGCTTTGGCGAGAGAATATGATGCTGACATTGAGAAGTACGTATCCAATTTTGTCATGCTAATAATAAACAAGTAATCATGCGATGTTGCTCGTACAATTAGGGATTAATAGTACTCGTGATGTTTGGAAATTTGCCAAATTGGACTCACCCCGGCGGCTCGTCCAATTTTGGCAAAATTTCCAAACATCACTCACT